GGGTGGGTGAGCGTGGCGTGGGTGAGCGTGGGGTGGGTGAGTGTGGTGTGGGTGAGCTTGACGTGGGTGAGCGTGGGGTGGGTTAGCGTGGGGTGGGTGAGCGTGGGGTGGGTGAGTGTGGTGTGGGTGAGTGTGGTGTGGGTGAGTGTGGTGTGGGTGAGCGTGGTGTGGGTGAGTGTGGGGTGGGTGAGCGTGGTGTGGGTGAGTGTGGTGTGGGTGAGCGTGGTGTGGGTGAGTGTGGGGTGGGTGAGCGTGGGGTGGGTGAGCGTGGTGTGGGTGAGCGTGGGGTGGGTGAGCGTGGTGTGGGTGAGCGTGGTGTAGGTGAGCGTGGTGTGGGTGAGTGTGGCGCTGTGGGTGAGCGTGGGGTGGGTGAGCGTGGGTTGGGTGAGCGTGGGGTGGGTGAGCGTGACGTGGGGTGAGCGTGGGGTGGGTGAGCGTGGGTTGGGTGAGCGTGACGTGGGTGAGCGTGGGGTGGGTGAGCGTGACGTGGGTGAGCGTGGGGTGGGTGAGCGTGACGTGGGTGAGCGTGACGTGGGTGAACGTGGGTTGGGTGAGCGTGGGGTGGGTGAGCGTGACGTGGGTGAGCGTGGGGTGGGTGAGCGTGACGTGGGTGAACGTGGGTTGGGTGAGCGTGGGGTGGGTGAGCGTGACGTGGGTGAGCGTGACGTGGGTGAGCGTGACGTGGGTGAACGTGGGTTGGGTGAGCGTGGGGTGGGTGAGCGTGACGTGGGTGAGCGTGGGGTGGGTGAGCGTGACGTGGGTGAACGTGGGTTGGGTGAGCGTGGGGTGGGTGAGCGTGACGTGGGTGAGCGTGGGGTGGGTGAGCGTGACGTGGGTGAACGTGGGTTGGGTGAGCGTGGGGTGGGTGAGCGTGACGTGGGTGAGCGTGGGGTGGGTGAGCGTGACGTGGGTGAACGTGGGTTGGGTGAGCGTGGGGTGGGTGAGCGTGACGTGGGTGAGCGTGGGGTGGGTGAGCGTGACGTGGGTGAACGTGGGTTGGGTGAGCGTGGGCTGGGTGAGCGTGACGTGGGTGAACGTGGGTTGGGTGAGCGTGGGCTGGGTGAGCGTGACGTGGGTGAGCGTGGGGTGGGTGAGCGTGGGGTGGGTGAGCGTGATGTGGGTGAGCGTGGGGTGGGTGAGCGTGGGGTGGGTGAGCGTGACGTGGGTGAACGTGGGTTGGGTGAGCGTGGGCTGGGTGAGCGTGACGTGGGTGAGCGTGGGGTGGGTGAGCGTGGGGTGGGTGAGCGTGACGTGGGTGAGCGTGGGGTGGGTGAGCGTGGGGTGGGTGAGCGTGACGTGGGTGAGCGTGGGGTGGGTGAGCGTGTGGTGGGTGAGCGTGACGTGGGGTGAGCGTGGGGTGGGTGAGCGTGGGGTGAGTGTGAAGTGGGTGAGCGTGGGGTGGGTGAGCGTGACGTGGGTGAGCGTGGGGTGGGTGAGCGTGGGGTGAGTGTGAAGTGGGTGAGTGTGAAGTGGGTGAGCGCTTCATCTGCGAGGCGTCTCTGGGGCAGAGAGAAACGCAGGCCGAGCGCGCTGCCCCTCCCCGTCATATCGACCCACAGAAATGCCCCAAATCCACGGCACGAAGAGACATCCGCGGCGAGAAGCACCACCGACGGAGCTGCTGGCTGGGGGGGGGGGGGGGGTCAGCCCCCCCCAGCCTTTCTCTCCTGAACCACCGCTGAGACGAGGCTCAAAAGAAAGCTGCCTCTGGTGTGGACCAATCCGTTTCAAGGACAATGCATATATTATCAGAGTGTTTTTTGTTTGCATTCTGAACACAAGTATTGTGGTTAATGCCAACATGATTCCTTGTGAAAGGTTTCAGTTTTGTTGCCAGAAAAAAGGGGAAACCCTATTCTTATATTTTGGTACTGGCAAAGCAAGTAAAATGATGCAATTGTGTGTTATTTTACCATTTCTACCCCGTCCGAGCAGAATATCCAGAAATGGTAGAGTTATGTCAGCTTCCACTTCCATGGTGAACAGGATGGATGTTGAGATGATTTAGAAATGCGTTCAGTGTATCTTTGCCGTGTGGCCAGACCACCAATGTGTTATTCACATATCTAAACCAATCAGATGGTTTTAGTGTGGAGAGAAAAACCGGAGGACCCAGAGAAAAATCCACGCGACCACGGGGGGAGAGAGACACGAAAACTCCGAATATACAGCAGCAGCAGCAGGCGTCAGGGTCGGGATCGACCTCCTGCATACCAAACGAGGTAGTTACATCTCATAGCTTCCACGATGATGATGAAGTGAGAAAGAGAGAGACCCAAACTCAAAATATACAGCAGCAGGGTGCCACTCGAGGTCGTCTCCCGCTCACGGCCAACACCGGTGACGATTACCTGGACCGGTCCTGGACCTCCCCTAGGTCGACTGATGCAGTGTGTACATATTTACACCAGGAAAACAAAGGCGGCCGGGCGTGCTGCTGGCCACCCTCCCCCTCGTGTGCCGTGCCGGCCTTCATAGGTGCTACTCGCTAACAGCACTTTCCCCAACAGTCTGTTCAGGCTATACGGGAGATCTTTGTCTTGTTTGTTCTAAATGCATTGCATTACAATCCCAGTGCCGTTTTCTTACTCGGGCAATGACTGCGAATTACAAACTCAAACCATATTTCACTCGCATCGAGTAAACATAGGAAAGGCAAATGAATGCATTAAAATCCATAAATAAAGTATTTTTTGGGAGTTAGATCGCGTAAATATAATTGCGTTGTTAAACCTGCCACCACCCGACACAGCCAATTAGTGAGGTTCGTCACGTAGACAACGAGCGCAGAGGAGCAGTGTGAGCAACCATGAGGGGGCGAACAGAGGGAGGTGCGAGCGAGTTGACAGTCAAGGATGACGTCATGTCACGGGTGCTGTATGACGTACCCTTCGGGAACAAAGGCGGGTCCGAGCCAGGGGGAGGAGCTGCCAAAGGGGGTACTGAAGGGGGCTACCCCGGGACGAAGGCGTGGTCGTTGTGGGGAGCCAGGGCTAGGATTGGCTGCAAGGGGTCTCTCCCGCCTCGTCACCGGGCGGTGTTGGATGAACCCCCGCTCCGGGTAGACGAGCGGGAGAGCTCAGGGAATAGTCGAGAGCAAGGTCCCGAGTACGGAGTCAGGATCGGCTGAGAGAGGGTTCCCGAGTGAGAGGATAGCCGAAGGCAGGACCAGCTCCTGGGGAGAGTCTGGGGTCAAGGACCAGATCGAGAGCACCGACCTCTGGTGTGAGTTTGAGAGTTGAGTGCAGCAGTGTTCAATAAACGGCAACAGCCCTTCGAGCGTTCCTCGTCCGCGCGTGGTTCTACTGCACAACACGAGCACAGCACCACCGCTGTGATGGAGAGTAAACCCACAACATTTACAATTCGAGTGTCGTGATGTTTCGCCAGTAATTACAACCGGCATCATCAGGCGGACAGCCAGAATTGTGGTAGAAATCCTCCCCCTGTCTCGGTCTTAAATAGAGGGGGGTGGGGGATAAATGTGACGTCGTCACCCGTGAGCCAATCAGGTGCGAAGGCCAGACGACGGGGGGGGGGGGGGGGGGGGGTTAATGAATGCACACGAATTACAACGGATATCCACTACCGGGTGGGTTATTCATCTTCATTCGCCTGCCCGCCTTCGACGTCAGGTGGGAATTCCTCGCGGCCCCCATTGCGAGCCGACCGTCGCTCTTCGGTGGTTGCCGTTGGCTCTCCGCGACGCCTTGGGTCGATCAAAGGGGGAGCGCGTTAAGGGCGTTGCTTTAGTTCTGGTTCGATGGCAAACTTTCGCTCGCGATACCAACGTTCACTCGCGACCGAAGGCTCACGCGTCTGCCCCCACTTCCAGACATCGAAACGATCCCTGACAGGTTGAAACCTTGCTCTGTTCTGTCGGGGCAAAGGTTAAACAAACGTGCATGGTTTTAGCGAATGCTGAATGCTGACACGGCGTTTAACTGCCCCCCCCCCCTGATTGTAGCACGCGTCCTGTGTTCTTGGCTTCATTGTAACAACCTTGCAGGTTTGCCTTCAAGAAATGTTGATGCGCGGACACACCGCACGTCCTCAACTAAACCCAGGGACATGCGGTCCCCACCAGACGCCTTTCACCAATATCTATGGGACTTTTTTTGGCCGTATCAAAGTGTGAAAATTATTGTTCACCACTGGCTCAGGGACCACCAACAGGGATGAGGACTGCCCCAAAGCAAATCCTATAAACAGACATCAAACGAGCACAGGACACGCTGGGTCACCAGATGGCAGAAGGCTAACAGGCGACTTGCGGGGCCTGCTGGAGCAAATGAGTTGGTTTTGGATCCGAGCTTCGGCTACCGCTGGCGAAATCGGCTTGAATCGAGCGAATTGATGGTCCCCAGCCTCAATGAATGCACGCACTGCGTGCAGCACTGTGTGCAGCACTGCGTGCAGCACTGCGTGCAGCACTGCGTGCAGCACTGCGTGCAGCACTGCGTGCAGCACTGCGTGCAGCACTGCGTGCAGCACTGCGTGCAGCACTGTGTGCAGCACTGCGTGCAGCACCGCCCTATACGGGGTCGACTGAAAGGACTGCGCGTCGTCTCGCGCGGACAACAGAGACCCGTACACGCTACCTCTCTCAGCAGTGGTTCTACAATGTCACCTTCCGTGGGCTATTTCTTCTACCCGTTGGGGTCACAATGCTCCTTCAAGAGCTGCGGACAAACACTTCTTCGTCTCGTGGCGCGACACTCGTGCGGATAATACATTTGTATTATTTGTATTATTTGTATTATTTGTATTATTTGTATTATTTGTATTATTTGTATCATCTATTGTGCACGCCTCTCGGGTTTTTGTTGTATTGTTTGTTGACGTAACTTGCCCATACCGTGCCTCTATTGGACATCTGTGAAAAAGCTTCATAGCTCATCGGATTCCCCCTGCAGTCGACACAAAGATTCTGCTTCTGATCAATTGGAATTGGGTAAAGCACGATGCTACCAAGAACATATGATGCACCAGAAACAGTGAAAATAACATCATTCATTTTATTACCGGTCTTACCAGGTCACCAGCCAGACTTGGGGTGGAAAAAAAATGACAAAAATAAAATGTTACATCCATTACAGTTCGGTAAACGACATAAATAAGACTTTAGCTATAAAAAAAATATAAGAACAGAAATTAAAATAACATGTTTCTTTACACACACATTTAACCTTCAGCAATGTGCAACACATTTTAAATATATATATAATCTGATCTCTAAAGCAGCAATATTGTAATGAAAACTATATCATATATTAAACCTTTCAGCACAGTCACGGATACAAAGTGGCGAAGTGTGGTTCAGAACAAAGCACAGAACAAAACACATAACACATGTATATACATAACGTATATCATATGTTACGCGATATACATCATACGACAGCGTACATGGATACGGGACGTATGTTTGTATATGGCATACTACATAGGTATACGTCATGTATATATCACACAACATATCCCGAAGTGATGTCTGACAGTCTTAGCCGCCAAGCAGCGTGCAAAAGCAGGCTTCCTCACGGAGATTAAACCAGAGTAGAACAACTCGAGATGGTGCTCACCGTCACAGGCTTGCATGTATAAATGTACACGTTCTAATGACTATCTCACGCACAATCTGTGTTGCACATCAAAATATGGGACGACGATTATGCCCGTGAACAAGGTGTTTCATTCCGTCTTGTAGCGGCACATGTTTATTTATTTATTTACGTGTCTTCATGTCTGTTTCTCTTCGAATTTTATGTTTATATCTTTCGGTATTTTTGTTGTTGTTGTTGTGTTTTTATTTAAACGTTTTAATGTTACGGCGAAGTAGACCCCGGGGTGTTATATAACGCGGGCGCCGTTTTAAGCGTTCCTCACAATCGGAACTAAGACGGCAACGGAGCGAGGGTATCCGCCTCCCGACGTTCAGAGCCGCGTGCTCGCACCGCGCTCGTTCCCGTGCTCCCGACGAGTTGCCCTCGTCGGGAGCACGGGAAGCCCGTTCGCGACGAGAATTTAAACGCTGCGGAGGATTTCGCTTCTGGACGCGCGCTCGCGACCGAGCGCGCCGGCAAATAGCCGCAACGGGGCACAGGTGCGGGCACCTGCTCGGTGGCGTCTGTGGCCGTCCAGCCCAAACCCAATTGGCGGTGTGAGACGTGGGCAGGGCTTGACTGCAGCAACAATAATCGCCGGTGTGTGACTCGCATCCTCGGGAGTTAACTCGACAAAAGCTCTCTTTAAAGTCGTATCGCACAAAGATAATCGGTTAGGTCTCACCGGTGGGGGGTGGGAGTCTGTTCAACACAAATCAGATTAAGAGCCAAAACCACGGACGCCCTCGTGCGAACGCATCGCTCAGCATTCCCATCCGATTTGTAACAGCAGCTCGCAGGCCTACGTTCGACGGGGCCAGCGGGAACCCGGAGGTAGAGTCTTGCAGAGGACAGGAGCAGGAAGGTGGAATCTCTTCGCCGTCCCTCAGGCCACCGGGCGAGGCAACCCTCGCCGACTTGCCTATAGCGACCAGAGGCCCAGTGCTGCGGCCCCTTCCTGCGGCCCAGTCCTTTCTCCTCCGTTTGTTCCACGAGTCTTGATTGATTGTGCAAGGGGCAGCAATGACACTGCTGTTGTGCCTCCCATCGCGATAGCCGTTCGTGCGGAAAATGGCCCTTTCTCTGCCAACTGATTTCATTCTTGCCTTCATATGCGTTCCATTTTTATTCTTTAAGTCTGCGGTGTGGGATTTTAATAATATTTTTATACAGCTTGGAATTTTTTTTTTCAGTTTTTTTTCTTTCAAAATGTACTTTTGAGGAGGTTGTGAGGTTTCGGGGTGAGGGGGGCGAGTGGAATGTCCGCGTCGTTTTTCGGCGTTAACGGTTAAGCGTGCATTCGCTTCGCTCGCACTTGGCACGCGACCGCTCGCGTGCATTTCGAGCCGAGCCCTGGGTCCGTTACACAGCTGCCAACGTCTGCCCCAACGAGCAGACGTCTCTCGTAAAAAAACGAATAACTAAAAAAAATGATAATAAATTAAAATCACATTCTTGTGTTCCAACGATCCAGCCACGTGCAGTCTTCACCGTCTGTGACACACACGCACACACACAAAGCCATGGTGAGTCGAGGTGTTTACACAACAGCAGTCACGCAGTCGACGCAAGAGGCACTTTATAGACAACAAAATACGCGATTGTGAATCACTACAAACTATTTTGTATTTTACCAGCTAAGACCCACTGAGCTACTGTAGCTCTTTTGCAGGAGCGACCTGGCCACAGATGATAGATCAATTAAGTGGCTTATCACAATAAATCACGTGGAGATTTATTGTAGCCAAACACTCTAAACGCATGATTCTAAATGTGGAGGGAAAAACCAGGGGACCCGGACAAAAATCCACACGACCACGGGAGAACACACAAACTCCAAATATACAGCAGGCGTCAGGGTCGGGATGGAACCCAAGACCTCCTGTATACCAGGCGAGGTAGTTAATATCTCGCCACCATGTATTTTTGTATACATATTTAACTTATTTTGCACCGTACGTAGCCAACTGTACTAAACATAAAAAGCAGTTCTAAAGAAATGAGTTTTCAATCTGGAAGATCGATTCTCCCATCATGCCTTCGCGTGATATTTTCTGGAGCTTTCTCGTCGATTAACAGACAGTGTAAAAAATGGGTTTTAAGGGGCCTACCCCTGCTTTAGTGAGCATTGGTTGGGTGGCATCCCGAGCCATGCGCGTATTCAGCCGCAGAACAACCACCGTGTGCGTCTCGCAAAGTCGTAATTGGCGACGACGTCGTTATGCAGGAAGAACAACATCCCATAGTCGGGGAGTTCCGTTTTCGATATCCAGTCGAGGACGTTGGGATGTGCGGAGCAAAATTTCAGAGATGTTGAACTCAATATCAGTGCCCGTTGCCGAGGTGTTGCCCGGTAACTAGTCCAGGATTGACACCTCGTGATCGTCCATCATAATGCGAGCCTCTATATTCTAGGCCATGTGACAGAATCCCTCCAGCCCCAGTCACTGCTCACAAGTCAAAATGTCTCCACTCTCTTTGGAGCAGCGGTGGACCTGAGCCAGTTTTTTTAGTTGTTCTTGTGTTTAGTTTTTTGTCCTCCCCCCCGCACCTCCGGTTTACACGGTTGGCTACGAACGGTGCAAAAAGAAGTTCAACATACATAGAGACGCATGCGTATGCGGAAAATTCCACATTCCTGCGGCGGTGGCCAATCTTTTTGTCTCTCCACGGGACAAACCACGGAACGGATCAGACATCTCAGGATGCACAATCTAGGGACGTTATCTCCGAGAGCCCGGTGTGTGTTATGCTGCGACTCGCTCACAAGACGATCTCCCTACTGGCGAGCACGGGGCCGAGTGTGTGCACAGTGGTGGCTGCCGGTGCCGGTGCTCGGGGTGCTCTCACCTGTGGCGCAGTGTGCGGCACGACTCGAGGAGGAAGGAGCTCGCCTGCTCGAGGTTCGAGTCGAAGCGCTCGAGCAGCCGCTGGCATTCTGCACGGCTCGCCAGCCCCAGGCTCAACAGCTGCTCTATCTGGCGCACACAGCGGGCAGCGGGGGGCCGTGGCGATGGCAGATTAGACAAGAACAACAACAACAACGACGACGATGACGACATTACGAGCACAAAATTAAGAGACTATTTTTACATCACATTAGGCCCACTGAGTTACGTAGCTTGATTCCTTGCAAAAAGGTATCTATTTGGCGTCAACACCTCCTGTTTTAGTTCCAGAAGGGTTAACTTATATTGTTACTTTTTCAAACTTTGACACTGGGAAAAAAAAAGGTCCCATAACCGAATGTAGAGCTCGTGGCGTCAGACGCTTCCCAGCTGTGTCCTTTATGAAAAATGTTTTTCTTGTATTTTCAACAACAAGAAGAAGAAAAACAACCCAGAGCCACCCGTGTGTCGTAATCGCCCGTGGGGGGGGGGGGGGGGTGGGGAACGTGGAAGGCCTCTCACCTTGAGGTAGTGAATGGCCTGCGGGACGTCCCAGGCGTGGCCGTGCAAGGCGGCGTGGCATTCCTCCGTCGTCACCCCGTGCACGCACTCCAGCACCTTCAGCGGACACGGTGGGGGGGGGGGGGGGCGGATTAACTCAAGCCATGCTCCGCTGGCGTGGCTCTGGTGAGCGATTGTCAACTCCCGAATGAAGGAACCAGCAAAGCGATGCCACCTTGGGCGGCACCGACAAGTGAAACATCCGGGCCGGGCTCATGGGGCCGAGCCGTGCTTTTCTGGCGCCGATGCGACGTGGCGGGCAGGGCGCGCGTCAAACATCCCCCGTGTAGCCTTAACGGACTGTCGGAGCAAGTGCTGTTAGTGAGCACCTGTGAAGGCTGGCACGGCACACGAGGGGGTGGGTGGCCAGCACCATCGCCCAGTGGTGATGTTTTTACATATAGAAACCAGGCACTCATTTGAAGTCGAGACGACCGAGGGGAGACCCCCGGAGCCGGTTCAGATAATCGTCACTGGTGTTGGCCCTGACCGGGAATCGAACTCGGGTCGCCGGGTTCGTAGCGCAGCGTAGCGTGTGTGTGCAAGCGGTAGCTGCACTACCGCTTGCACACACACGCACGCTCTGTGCAGTGTTCTCATCTGTGCGTGTGCACACCAAGGCACTGCCCTCCTGAGCGTGAGCAAAGCTCATTCACAATAACGAGGTTATCTCTCCAGGGTTGGGGAGAAATATTTTTTCCTTATAATTACGTAACAGATTACGGTTAAACGAAGAGAGAGAAAAATAAAAATTCTCAGACTGTGCGTGTCAGTCACAGAGCTTGGCGTGCCAAGGCCAGAGGAGTTGTTGTTTTTTCTTCCACATTTTACGTCGAGGCAAGATACGAGGGTGTTGTGCAACAGAAGGATGGGTTATTTTGTAAAACCAGTTTTTTTTTGCCTCTTCGTCAAAGGTACATTTGAGGTACACCGTGTATCCTTCAATCGCAGCGAAAAGCGCCGGAGGCACACACCGAGGCTCAACAAAGCAAAGGCCACTTTTGCTCGACGGGTTAATGAGGCCTCCGACCGGAAATGGCAGCAACAGCTGAATCACGGTGGCAACATTCAAAACACAGTTCACAAGGGCCACTTCCCCGCAAACACTCCACAGACACGCCAAAGCGCCGAGCTTGTGGATAATTGTAATTACGTCTTAAAGTGCCATTAAAATGCTTTCGGTTTACAGCAGGATACAATAGCTCCTTGCATTACGTCAACCCCTCGTCTCTCTGCTACTTTCCATTGGCCGCTTTTAGAAGTTCCTCGCACATCGATTCCAACTCGGGACTGAATGCCTCACCCGCACCGCACGCAGCCGCCCTTGATACAGGATGGGACATTCAATCTTCTTTGCCAGACTCGGCTTCTGAACTCCCTTTCTCTCTTCTGGTCTTTCAAGCCCCCATAACGGGCGATGCGCTCCATGGAGGACTCGGCTCACAATCGGTTCGAATCCCGCTCGCTAGTTCACTTAGCCAATGTTCTTACAAAAAATAGATGACTGTGGTTGTCAAAAAAACGTAATAATTTTTGTATTTTATGAGGCAAGGCCAAACCGAGCTCTATAGCTCTTTTTCAGAAGCGACCTGGCCACAAATGACAGCTAAACGAAGTGCCTTATCGCGTGAAAATCTATAGCAGCCAAATTACTCTAAACGCGTGATGTTGATTCTAAATGTGGAGGGAAAAACCGGAGGACCTGGAGAAATATACACGCGACCACGGGGAGAACATGCAAACTCTAAATATACAACAGACGTCAGGGTCGAGATCGACCCCACGACCTACTGCATACCAGGCGAGGTAGTCAAATTCTCGCCACCATGGCACCCACTAAATGCACAGGCTGGCACCCGCCAAGGGAATGTGAAATTTCTACCAATAGTTGGGGGCCATCGATGGAGAGCAGCGTCATCTCCACGCTTGTTTCAGCAGGGAGAAGCTTGCCATCTTATCCCTAACCCTTCTTTGTTGCTAGCATTACCGGCCTTAGTAAAATGTTATTAAAAGTCAAAGCAGCTGTTCAAGAAAGCTGTGGGGTGGTACTCAGCTCATGTGATTATTATTTTAGTGTCCTATGGAAAGACTCTACCCTGCCATGGGAATATGGAATTTTCACCAATGGCTCAGGGCTGTAATCGTGAGAGGAGCACCGCCTCAATGCTCGTTTGAGCTGGAGGTCACTTCTACGTCAGGCGACTATTATTATAACTTTCTCGGGAGAGCGCCCACCATGTCACGATAGATCAATCAGCTGGTTCGCAGGTGCAAGGTGGATTGTCACGTTGCATTGCAGGACTACCCAGCAGTGGATTGATCATGGCTGAAGATGACTGGGAGGGGGCGGCCAGACGCTCACCTGTCTGATCTGCTCCTGCGCGCTCAGGGAGTCGAGTCGGGAAAACTCCTCACAGACGCCCTCCGGGGTCCTTGCGGGCTCAGAGGTCGGGGGTTGTGACCTCTCGTTGGGGTCACTCTCTCGCAGGAAGCGCTCGTACCTGCGAATTGAGGACGTGAAGGCCGCGGTTAACGCGAGCACGTGCCAACGCGCCAACGCGCCAACACGGCAACACGCGCCCGTTTCACTACATAGCAAGCAGCAACGCACTAGTCCTGTTGGATCCCGGAAGCCGAGCTCGCTTCAAGCCTGGATAGCGCGCGGATGGGCCACTGCCAGGGCTACATGGTGGGAAGCAGAGGACGGCGCGGCACAGCACAGGTCCGTTGTTGTGCCGCATTTCTACGCTACGGGACATCTACGCTGCCCACCTTCGCCAACCCGGTGCCGACCAGCGTGGCGAAGCAAGTAAAGTCAGATAAGCAGCCATGACCCGTGCGAAGTGGGGGAGGCCCTCGTCCAGCTGTGGACCAACATGTGCCGTGCTACGAGGGGTAAGCCGAGCGCACAGTAGCTGCGTAAACATTGCTCAACACCGCGTGACACAGCGGTGTGCCGTTAGTTGGCAACGCTGCCGTGCGCAGAAGTGCGCGATGCAAAAGAACATCGATTACTGACAGAAGAATGGAGTCGGGCAGTAACAGGAACCGTCAATTGGCCGAGGCACCCTGAGGATAACCTTCACATGAATACAGTCCCACCGGGGGTCAACACCCACCGCTTAGCTTCTGCGAGATCCGACGCGTCAACGTCGAGGATTCGAGCGAAAGCGGCAGACTCGGCAAGAGCAACTGCGAACGTCCACCTCTCCGCTCACCTGTCCAGGTAGGCCGGCTTCTCGGGCAGGAGGTAGTAGTGGGTGCTGCTCTGCTTCTTGCCGTCCTTGATGATGGGCAGGATGCACGGGCCCCGCGCCGGCTGCCCGGAGCAGCAGCCCTTCTCCTTGCCCAGCGTCGAGAACTTGGGGTCCGAGCCGAAGCTCTGCGTGGGCGGCATCGCCCGCTGCGGCGACGACGACAGAGCCGCCTGCTGCTGCTGACACGGCGGGGGAGGCCCCGGTATGGGCTGCGGCGACGACGAGCAGCCGAAGCCCTTGGGGCTGGGCGTTCGCGACGAGCTCGGCGACAGCGGCTCCCGGGGCGGCACCCGCGGCGGGGCCTCGCCGTCCGGGCCCAGCGAGGGCGAGCGGCGCAGGGGGAGCCTCGGCGGCCGCTCCGTCGACGCCGCCGTCTCGTCCGCCGCCGCTTCGCAGCCGACGGCCCGGAAGCCGGCGCCGCTCTCGCTGGCGCCGCGCGGCGGCACGCGGGGCGGGCGCGAGGGGCTGCCCGCTCCCTCCCGCGGGAGCGGCGAGTCTCGCACGGGCAGCTTGGGGGGTGGCCGCTCCGCCCCGTCGCCGGAGCCCGACGACAGCGACTCGCGCAGCGGCGCCTTGGCGGGGCCCTCGCCGCAGCCGCCGCCGTCCCAGGACGCGCTGCTCTCGGGCGCCGCCGCGACCGGCGGCCGTCGCTGCCGCTCGGCGCCGTCCCCTCCCCACGACAGGGACTCGCGCAGCGGCGCCTTGGCCGCCGCCAGGCAGTCCTTGCCCCACATGTAGTAGGAGACCTCGGCCGACCAGCGGTAGCCGTTGCGCTTGGCGGGGAGCGGGGGGATGGGCGCGCGGGGCGGCACCTCGGGCCTCTCCTCGGCCGCGCCGCCGGGGGACGGCGTCGTCGCCGTCGAGCCGGCGCCGGGCTCGGAGTCGCACGAGGCCGGGGCCGAGGCGCGGGCGGCGCGGCACGGGGGCTCGCGGGCGCGCAGGCTCGCGCGGTGCAGCTCCCGCAGCGCCGCCACGCTCTCGCGCTCGTACGCCCGGTTCGCGGCTCCGCAGACCCCGGCGGCGGCCCTCGGCACGGCCCCGGTGGCGGACGCGTAGAAGTTGGAGAGCAGGTCGAGCGTCGAGTCGCAGCCGCCCTCGAAGAACACCGAGTCCGAGTCCAGCGAACGCTCCGCGGCGTCGTCCGCGTCCCCCCCGACGCCGTTGCCCTCGAAGTCGACGCCGCCGCCGCCGTGTCCGTGGGGCGGCACCGCCGGTAGCCGGGACTCCCGGTCCGCGACCCTCGAAGACGGCGACCACGCCGCGCACGGCGGGATGTCGTAGTGTGACCGCCTTCCCGTCGCTCCGCCGCCTCCGAACGCGATCGCTCCGCCGCCGCCGCCGTCGCCGACGGCCACCGCGGGCCGGGGCGCCGGGCACAGCGGGCGCGGCGCGGTGCGGCAGGGGCTGTGCGGCGCGGAGGACGGGGAGTTGTCGAGCCGTCCCCCCTCGGCGCAGGGCGGCGCCGGCGGGAGGGAGAGGGGGCCGCCGGCGGCGTGCGCGTCCGCGGGCCGCCCCACCATGCCGCCGCCAGCGAGATCGCGCGTCGGGGGCGGCCGGCACGCCTTGCTGCCTGTGCTCTTCAGCTGGCAGTACTTGCGGAAGGGAACCTTCCGGTGGCACACATTTTCCTCCTCGTCCGCGTCGACCGGCGACGATTCATAGGTGGGCTCTAGTGGGAGGGGGAGGGGGGAAGGAGCAGCAGCGGCGGCAGCGCAGGGTCAGTCGACAGTTGAGGGACTTCAATGATGAAGGTCCAACCCACGGCGCATTCCGACCAACGTGAAGAAGCATGGCAATCGTCGAGACAGAGCTAACGTGTCCATCCGTTTACGTGGATGTTTATATCGCGAGTTATATTACTTTACCCACTTGCTCCAATTATATCAACACCTTTAGTCTGTTTTGAACGAACTTTCAGATACATGTATGGGTTGGTTATTGTTAGCCCTTTAAAACCATTATCTATTGACATTGATAAATCTTAGCAATTGGCCAGTGTTGATATCTCCCTGTGGCCATGCCAGAGTGTTTGAAATTCTATATTCCTATAATGGGGCCGAATATCTGCAGAAAACACGCACTCCGAACTTTTCACAGAATAGAACTTCCCCACGTATAGGTAATCGTCCAACGAGGAACGGTGGTCTGAGCCAACGCTTGATCGAAGCGTGAATTAACAGCCATGTGGCAGAAAACCCGTGCCAAAGCACTTGAAGGTGGGCTTCCATAGGCAGAATGCTTCCAAGATGGGCAAAATGCCACCGCTCCCTACGCACAACCACGGACGCACAGATGCTCCCTTTCCACAATACAGATCGCTAATTGTAAGGACAATGTCCAGGCAAAGCCCGCTGCATTAATAAAAGCATGAGAAATCTTCCGCCATCGCTCCCCCTTTCAACTCCACGCACTCAAGTCACACGTGAAAAGCCTCTCTCTCTCTGTTGTTGTTTCATCCCGTTCTAGAAAGACCTCGGCTCCCTACACGGTTCACCGTGCCGTCCGGTTCACTGGATTGGTTCGACGAACGCTCCAGGGTCCCCAGGTGAGTGAGTGAGTGTGCCATGGTAGTGGGTGTGGAGAGAGAGAGAGAGAGAGGGGAAGGTTCAAGGTTTGGAACTAAAAACTTAACCAACAGCAGCTCCCACTCGATGGCAGCATTGCCAAATGTCTCTCGGACATCGGCCGGTCTCGCAATGGTTTGTTTCTTTGCCTCTGTGCCCTTTTATTTATTCCCAAATGTTCCTTTTCTTAATTCGAGGCGACTAAGCGCGATAGACCTGCTATCGGCGTGCAACGTTTGCGAAGTGTTTTTTTTTTACTTTTGGCCGCCAGAACTTTGGAACTTGGACTTTGCTCCGCTTCGGCAATGCGGCGAGCGCCGTCGTAACCGCTGGAAAGTCGCGACGGTTTTGTGCGCATTTTCTTTTGCTCAAGGAGATTATACCCCAAATACGCTTAGTGGCATCTGGGCACGGACAGAAGCAAGCATTACCCCGTACAACAAAGCCCCGCCTGAACGCCACCACCCTTGTCGTACCGCGCACACGCACGCACACGCACGCAAGTGCCGTTTCGAGCGAGCCTCTCACTTGAGGTTGCGGCTGCGGGTGGTGACGTCTCTTTTAGCCTCGGCCCGTCCGTGTGTGCGGTGGTGGCGGCGTTGCTGGGCGAGGAGCTGCGAGAGAAAGAGAATCGTAATTAAGGCATAAGCCTGGGCTCATGACGACGGCCCCGATACATTATTGGGCCCCTGCCAACTGTTCGCAAAAATTCAAACACGCCGACGATGCTGCCATTAGCACCATTACGGCTTTGAGGCCGCACCCCAGCCACTGACCCAATTCCGCGGTTTGATTCCCGCTATGCAGGAGGTTGTGGGGGGTTAGAAACAAGGCGGCCGAGCAGTGCGGCCTGTAAGAGTCCGTCCCGCTACTCTCATAGTTTGCTACATGTTCACAAACAATATCTACGCTCGTGCCGAGAAAAACCCAAGTAGGAAATTATAGATTTTATAGGTCAAACATTTATTTTTATATACATTCACGAATCTAAAGCCTACAGAAAGTCGGCGATGGCTGCTATGCAGTCGCTTAGTGCCACATATAAATCATTGCGAAGACCAAGCGCCCCTCTCTTTCCCACCTCACGTCTGTCACTGCGTGGCTTTTAAAGGCGCTGACAACGATGCAGGTGTTCCAAAGAGGAGGCGTGGTGTGAGGGGGGGGGGGTGAATGCTTCAGACCTTCCCCTGCACCCACAATGCGGGCGTGTTGTGATATTGCATCGCGAGTAGAGATCTCGGTGGAGAATAATGCTCCCGTTTCAGCCGATGCCTCTTATTAAAACCCGCTGACGGATAAAACTGCTGAGCGGCGAGAGCTAACAGCCCCCCCCCCCACCCCCCAAACACGTGCATCCGCCACAATTTTTGCTGTGCCCTTCGAGCACTTTCATCGCCCACCGCACGCGAGTGGAAGAGGCGTCAAGATACAGTCATTATGAACATTTTGTGATCTGGATAGGTGGCACCCAAGGCAGCGGGGATTCGACTCGCCATCGAAAGGTCACCGGTTAACTGTCCTGACCGGGGACAGACTCAGCCAGGAATTCCGCCCGCTCGCATAAAATGAGAAATTGCTTTGTGGGGAGCCGACCGTGCTTGTCTGATGAGAGACAAAAATGCCCCCCACCCCCTGCCGAAATGTTAGAAATGCGGAAATGACACGAACAGAGAGGTACGATGCACCGTGCTCGCTTGAGCAGGGAGAGGCAGCGACTTCGACTTGGCGGTGTACAAATTGAGACGAGTGGAGTCCCCACCAGAACCTAATTCACCCCTTCTCCCGGCGGGGGGGTGCGGGCGAGCGAGCGAAGTGAAATAGCGCGAGGGTTTGACGAGAGGCCAGGGCGGGCCCCGACTTACTGCTCCGGCTGCCGCCGCCAGGGCAGCTGGGCCTCGCGGCCGGGGCTGTTCGTGGGCGCCGGCGTCGCCTGCGGCGGAGACGCGGCCCCGCGCGGGGGGAACTGAGCGACGTGCAGCGCCCGCCGGCCCGGACAGTGCCACCAGCAGCTGCTCTCCGCGCTGCAGCGGGGGGTTGGGAGGGGGGCGGCGCGGCGGGCGAAAGGGCGGGGGGGGGGGATGAGTGCGATGCGGGGGGGGAGACGAGGGAGCAAAGGGGGGGGGGGGGGACACAATGAGTTACTAAAGTGCCCCGTCTGCTGTTAGGTCAGCGCCCGCTTGGACACGGATAGCGCGACCAGCGCCCGCTTGGACACGGATAGCGCGACCAGCGCCCGCTTGGACACGGATAGCGCGACCAGCGCCCGCTTGGACACGGATAGCGCGACCAGCGCCCGCTTGGACACGGATAGCGCGACCAGCGCCCGCTTGGACACGGATAGCGCGACCAGCGGCCACTGCACTACATGGGGGGGGAGGGGGCGACCACAGGGGGCGACGGGGGATCGAGTGTGATGCGGGGGGGGGAAGACAAGACAGCAAAAAGGGGGGGGGGGACACGATACGTTACTAAGATGCTTCGTTCTACGCTGAAGTGGACAATGAAGACCCTATCACATGTTCAGACGGAGGCAATCGCGCCAAAAGCCCTCGCCCGAAATCTATAATTGAGAGCTCGCATCCGACCAAAGTGCATACCTGTCAACCCCTTATCAGTGCCCTACCTTATTACAGACCAATTCAGACCGTATTGGTCACCCCGTGCCCTTATACATCTCAACGTTCATCCTGCAAAGTCCCATCACAAGGGAGAAACACCAAAAAGTAGACAAAACAAATTTTTCTGTTGCTCGTATTAAAACGGCTGTACGCCGTACGGACCTGAACACTCAATTTCCCCGGACAAGAATACGGGTAAACCGTGATGGGTTGACCGGAACGATAGTGTACAAGTGTTAGACTAGTTAAGAGGACAACGGAATGAGATTACTTTTTGGCGTCGCAATATTCAATCGTGATAAATGCTAAGGCTCATCCTGTGGTAGCAAGCAGGATATGTCAGCCAGCACCACGCCTGGCCACCATTGTTGCTTTGCGTTTACACGCAACGCAGTGGGCACTCATTTTGGGCTGAGTCGACTTAAGGGAGGGGGTGGTGGTGGTGGGGGGGACGCCCAGGCCCGGCTTAACAAGAGCACAGATACCGAGGACACAGCGATGACGCGACTCGGCCAGCAGGGGCCAGCATTGCCCATGGATGTCGCTGTGCGGCTGAACCTGCACGACCCGTACCAGAGCGCAATGTTCCCCCGTGCATTGACGAGTCGCTGGGGCACACGCGCTAAACATTTGTCGTTCCTCCCTTAACTCACTGTTTTCCTCAATAGCGTGTCCCTCTACAGCGTCCTCCCCCGTCACCACCTCGCCAGCCCTCCCCCTTCCCCCATCACCAGCCCTTCCCCTCTCCAACACTCAAACATTCTCTCCATCAGCCAACACACGAATGTACCATTTATAATTGTTGTAAAGTGCATTGACAAAGCCCTACATATATATATACAATCCTAGATAAGATGCGATAAGCTGCCTCTGGCTGACTAATAATGCCATTATGTAATCAATGTATTTTGATGGCCAGCAAGCCGTGTATGGTCTTTTACTCGCTGCCCTGTTTTTTTTTTAAATATCACGCACCCAGAGACTCAACTCACGTCGGGCACGTAGCGTACCACCACCACCAGCCCCTCCTCCTCAGTGAGTAAAGAAAAAATATTGGGCAACATATTCCGTCACCACTGAGTCTGGCTGCAGCATGTCATACGCAAACACACCACAATCCCTTAACACAATGTTAGGTTAGTGCGCATTCTTGACACACATACACACGCACATAGTGACAAAGATACCCTCCCTCCTCCGTCTAGCCTCATAGGCGACTCTCCACGGGCCGATACGACAATGATTCACCGGGGGATTCACTTAAGGCCGAGGGATGCCCAAGACAGTCGTGCGTCACCGGCCAGGCATTGAAACTCCAATCTCATTTGGTTGTAATGCGATGTGCAAAGTCATTGTGCCCGATCGCCTGATATAAACAGGCACACCTCCTCCTCATTTCAACTTTCACGGATTGTGAAGTCAAGAATCGGCCTTCAGCCGAGAGGGCCCCCCCCCCCAGTGTAGGTGCTTTAGGCAAGTGCCTCGTAACGGTGGCTGGAGAGCAATAATGATATATTACTATCCGGGCCAGGTGTCCCTCTGCCTAGAGACTTTGGCTCGCAAATCAGAAGTTGCAAGTTCAAATCCTGGCCAAGGGGTCAATTTAGCCTCGAAATCATCATCACTGTCAGGGTCAATACAATTGGTGTTAATTTGTGGGATGTTAAAAGGAGTTGTTATATGGAGAGACTGGCCCTTACCAGAACAAGGTGGAATTTCCAGCCAATAGTTGAAGGCAACCAAAAAGTAAAATATTAACTTTTCTTTTTAGCAGGTAAGGCTCCACCGAGCTACATCGCTCTTTTTCAGAAGCCACCTGGCCACAAATAATAAAATAATAGCTCAACAAAGTGGCTTATCACGTGCACTGGACATTTATAGCTGCCAAGTTCTCTAAATCAATGTTGATAAAAAAATGCGGTGGGAAAAAACCGGAGGACTCGGAGAAATACCCACACGACCACTTGGAAGATAGAGAGAGAGACATGCAAACTCTAAATACACAGCAGCAGGCGTCAGGGTTGGGATCGAACCCACGGCCCTCCTCCATACCAGGCGAGCTAGTTAACATCTCACCACCGCGGTGCTGCACCATTGCATGCTTGCACAGAGCCGTGAAGCCGACGGCCAGAGTTGTAGTTCTCCACGCTGGAGCTCATTGCACACAGCTGCTTCAAACCCATTCTCACCGCGGCCCGTGGGCCACAAAGAGACGTCCGCACACGCGGTGGTGCGGCTGTCCCAAAAAGCTTACAAATGTGGTGATTGTGAAGAACCCCTCCCGTTGTAAATGAAAATGTCAAAACGTACATTAAGACCCAACCCTCGTCTTAAACTCACAAGGGTTGTTGAATGATGTAAATGAGAGACCAATCGGCGCCCTTGTGCAGACAATATTCACATCTGTTCTCATTTGTTAAGACTGGTGCAGATGCTGGGGGTGGTGTCTGTGGTGCACTCCAGGAACTCAGGTGGGAGTGGGCGGGGGGGGGGTATCACTGGACGAGCATCGCTGGGATTACGACTACGACCGAGTGAGCCACTAAAATTGCTCCGCGATCCCTCGGCACTGCAATTCCGGGTCAATTTTAACGATTCGCCCATCCCTCTTCACGAACTTGGGAGTTTCAAATACAGCTGCCTTCCTGCTCACCCCCCCCCCCCCCCCCGGCTGAGTCGAGGTGTCCCCCTGCTCCAAGACAGATTGCAGCAGCGACGGACTCCCGAAGAGGCAGTTCTCGCTCGGACCAGTCACGGAAATTCCACATTCTCTTGGCAAGGGCTAGCAGTATCCCCTCTTTCTCTCTCTACGAGTTGGCCGCTCATTTTAACCAACCCTGGAGGAACGGCAATGAGGCGAGTCAGCCCGTCCCCCCGGCACCAGCCGAGTGAAGCCCCTGGATGGGTGTCGGTGGAGTAAACCGAGCGACACCCGGCCGGATCGTCTCCCATGCACGCATCTCCTCCCTTCCTCGCGCTCTCACTCTCTCGCGGCGTCTCTCTGTTGTCAGAGACACGAAATCCCACGGTGGAGGAGGAGGAGGGAGTGCGGATGAAACCTGAGCGGGCGGTGGGTCCGGCGTGTGGGTGCGGGGGCAGGGTGGGGTGGGTGGGTGGATGGGGGGGGTGAAGCTCATGCATTCCAGCTGTGTGCCCATCCGGCACCGCAACATGCCTTCATAATCCACACGCCCAAGCACCCCGCGACCCCCTCCCCACCCGCAAACGCCACCGCCAACAGGTCGGACTCCTTTTTTTCTTTTTGTTTAATGGACCATTGTTTTGTGTGCGTGCGTGTGCATGTGTACATGTGTGTGTGTACATGTGTGTGTGTACATGCGTGTGTGTACCTGTGTGTGTACATGCGTGTGTGTACCTGTGTGTGTACCTGTGTGTGCCTGTGTGTGCGCGTGCTTGCGTGTACGTGAGTGTGCGTGAGTGAGTGTGTGAGTGTGCGTGAATGAGTGTGTGAGTGTGCGTGAGTGTGCATGAGTGTGTGTGTGTGAGCGTGAGTGAGCGTGCGTGAGTGAGTGAGCATGCGTGTGTGAGCGTGAGTGAGCATGCGTGTGTGAGCGTGCGTGTGCGCTGGGTGCAGAAGGGACGGAAGACAAATGGCGCAGCGGGAGAAGCTGCTCGCCACCCGGAGGGGTTCGATACCAAAGACTAAAAACGACGTTTTATTTGACCAGGCAAGGCCCCCTGAGCTATTATATCGAGCGCTCCTCTTCAGAAGCGACCTGGCCACAAAACGATCGCGCCAGAAACCTCCGATTAGCAAGGTTGGCTACGTACGGTGCGAAAGAAGTTCAACGTAAATGCAGCTCAACGAAAGTGGCTCATAACGAGGACATTTACAGCAGCCAAATGCTCTAAACTCACGTCGATTGAAAATGGAGGGGGGGGGGGGGGCCGGAGGACCCTGGAGAACAATCCACGTGACACCTGGGAGAGAGACACGCAAACTCCGAATATACAGCAGGCGTCAGGGGTTGGGATCGAACCCACGACCGCCTGCGTACCAGGCTAGGGAGTTCAACATCTCATAGCCACCGCGGTGCCCCGATAGCAGACTCCGTTGCGGTGGTCGATTTACCCGGTGAGTTAATGCACGCCGTTTAATCTTGGATGGGTGGTGGTGGTGGTGCGATTAGAACGTTCCCCTCGCAATCTGAAGGTTGCGCCTTCAAATCCCCGGTCAGGGGTCAACCCGAGCAATAATGTGGGGTCGATAGAAACAAGTACCACTTTGTGAGACGTCGATAAGTGGTTGGCTGCCCTGTGGATAAACTGGTACCTGCCATGGGAATGTGGAATTTACACCATTGCCTCCTCGCAGCCACCCAATGGAGATGAGGAGCACTGCCCTCCCTACGATCGCATGCGTGAGAAAGGAGACGCTCGGA